TAACTTCTCAGCCATCCCAGCTGTCCCCAAAATGGGATGGGATGTCTTGGGGGGGAGGGAGGCTGAGTGATGTTGTGGAAGGCATGTGGCAGAGAGGAGTTGGGGCTTTTCAAAACTGCCCATTGGCACAGGATCAGGTTGACAAGAGTGTGTGGCAAAGTTGGCATCAGCAGCGACCAGCATCTAATGCCCACTTGGTGATGTCATAAGATGAGCAGAAGCAAGGGCACATTGACCACGGCAGTGACGACACCTGAATGTGTCTGGCATTGGGGCCATTACCTAGGAGAGAACTCGCGTCGGAACAAAGCGTCTGCCCCGACATGGCCTTCAGCTCCGTGGCAGCGGGCCAGAGGCTAAATGACCTTCAGATGGTTGAGAGGGTGGATTTTGGCAAGACAGTCTGGCTTCACGGTATCCTTGGATCCTCCCCACTAGCACATTGAGCTGTTCACTAACAGGGTAGGCTGCACACCATTGCGTTTGAATTTTGAAGTGGCAGGAGTGACCGCACTGTGCTGGGTGTTGTGCCCAGGTAGGATCCTGAGGCATTTCTGGGCGGTGCCCTTCTCTTCTCTAGGGTGTGTAACTTTTTTCTGAATTCCTTGTTTTTTCTCTTTCCTTTCTGCTCTCATTTTTCTCTCTCTCTCTCTCACTCCCTTCCTCATCCCCTTAGGTTTGCTAATGGCAGTAGTAGGCATTATTTTTAGCACTTTGGTGACAGTTAAGGTCAGGTGAGTTACTAACCTCTGCTCTAAGGGTGTGGGGGGGGAGCGGTGAGTGTGCGTTTGTGTGTGGGGGTGAACTTAAAATGTTCTTCAGAAGTTTGGAAACAAAAGTCAGGCTGTGCTGAGTTGGCTCTCTCGGGGCTGGGGTGGGGAGGCTCTCATCTTGAAACATTTGAAATGTTTGCAAAGATTTTTCCTGCAATCGTAAGTTGATCTTGGCTACAGGAGACAGGAGGTGAGTGAGCAGAAGGGCCAGGAGGATTCTCACGCCTCCCCCCTCCTTCCAGGTTAAGTACTAAATGCTGAAGTACGGCTCTGGCCAGTCACAGGTGACTGTTTGAACGTTGCCTGCTGTCCACCAGTTACTCTCACACACTTTTCTCTCTTATCGTTGAATTTTGTGAAGGCTCTTACAGCAGAAACCACAGTGAGTCTCAGGCTCCCTGCGTTCCTGGGAGAGCTTGGATGAGAGATTGTGGGATCTGATGAGAAAGCAGTCGCACATCCTACCCTTGTGGATTTTGAGTCCGAAGGGTCCAGGTGTCCTGCACTCTCCTAGGCCAGGTCTTCCGGCTTCCAGGCTGTGGTTCTGTGTATGATGCCTGTGCTTGGAGTAGGCTCCCTGCCTCTTGGCTTGAAGCCCTCACAGTTCCCATGCTGCCTTCTGCCCTCATTTGCACAGAAAAACCTACCCGGACAGCCCTCATCTCTGCTGCTCCAACCTGGTTGTCTCCACCATGCTGAGTAAATTGCTGTGACAAGCAAGATGGTGCCTGGATTACCGGAGAGCAGCTGGTGATTGCATATGACCGCAGGTGATTGGCCAGTTCACTGACAGAGTGAGAGGCATCCTTTCATTGCTTGACAGATGCATCTAGAAGCGGATGCCTGCTGGTGTCAGAGGAGAGGAGAGAGAAGAGATGCTATTGGCCTTGAACACCAGGGCGTTACAGCTGAATTAGAGTGATCAGGGAAAGTCCTGCAGGTGTAGTTGCTAGTTTAATTTGCCGTCTATCCCATGGAATGTGTTAACTACTGCCGTGTCACTGAAGCTCTCCTTGGCGGGCTGGTGCCTTCAGAAGCACCGTGTCGCACAGACGCTTATTGCCGAGGGTGTCTGGCAGTCGCCATTCCCTGCTGGCGTTAGCACGTCAAGTCATTTTAACTCTTTCGTTTTGGGGTTTGTGCCATACACATTGGGGGATTTCGTACGACGTTCCCACATCTTAGACACCTGCAGAGGTATGCGTAACCTGGAGAATCAAGTCACTTTTCTGACTTGTAGAAGAAATATTAGGAGGGAGTTTGCCTGTGTGCCAATTACCGTGTTAACTTTATTTCACTGTTGGTTTCTTTAAGAGAGAAGGGCTTTCCCAGGCAAACTGATTTATTCACAAGAGAATTTCTAAAGTAGAGCTTGTTAACCTCCCAGATTCACTTGATCCTGTAGACCACTTGCCCCACACAGTTTTGTTACCTGGCGATGGGAATCTTTGTCATGACTGCTGAGGAGTGCCTGGGCTTCCTTGGCTGCCATATTTCCCACAGAATGCGTCTCTGCTTCCATGTTCTTGTGATGTGGAATTTGAGCCAATTGTTGCACGACAGGAGCCCAGTGGGTGAGCACAGCGCTGGATTTGGAAGTGGTGAAATGCCTCTTGTTGGCATCAGGAGAGATGCCAACTTGTAACTGCTTGTCCCTTCAGACTTCTGCTTCCTAGGAGGCTTATTCTGTGAAACTTGAAGTCTGTTGAGTTTATTGGAGATAATATTTGGATCAATTGGATGGCTATCTTGTGGGCTTTGACCCATGAAATCGTGGCATAGTTGCTAAGTTGAGGGTATAGTGCCCACATCTTAGACCAGATTGGGCTCGTGGGCTCCTGCCACCATCTGCGTCCCAATGCCCTCTGACTGTTCCCGGGCCTATCATGGCAGTGTCCATCGGAGCTGGTTCTCCTAACCTTGGTGGTGGTGGTCCTTCCTTCCTATTGAGTGCTTCAGCTATCATGAAAAAGTCATTGACAGTTACCTTCCTGTAGCTAAAGCCTATTAGACAACAATTCAGAGGAGTTGCCGTGTTCAGGCTTAGACAGAAAACAGGACGGCTGATGGCAGTCCCCAGGTCGTCAGGAATCTCTTGGTGTAAGCCAAGCTGGCCTGCCTGCCCATTCGGGAATACGAGGGTGGACTCTGAATTCAGTAACCCAGTTGAGAACAGTAGTTAATCTGTTTGCTCAAGCTTTTAGCTGCACTTTTAACAGTGTGACAGGAAGAGGACGGAGGCTTCCCTTGATGTGGTGCCAGGCTTGTTGCTTGGCAACCAGAAGCCCATTTGGGTCATGTCTGGCACTACGGTAGAATTTGGACAAGGTTGTACCAGTAGAGCAGACTGGCTTTGGACAAGCATCTAAGAACTCTCGAATGGATTCTTTTCCCCTGTATTTTTTGGGTGAAAACATTACCTGCCTTCCCAGGAGCTTGGTCTTTCCCAGGCACGTGGTTCCTCCCCACCCACCCACCCAAACTCTTCCCGCTTGGATACAGGTCAAGCAGCTTAATTGTTTCCTTCCTGGTCCCAGGAGTCCAACAGATGAGTCCTTCCTTACTGTTCCCCTTCACCCCAGTGACTCTGTGATTGATTCAGGTAGTGAAAAGGGGGAGGGGCACCTCGGGCGTTGCTTCCTCCCCCTTTTTCACTGTGTTCTCGATAAAAAACTCAAACCACTTAATGAGAGACAGCGGTTTAGTGGAAGACAGGAGACTCCCATTCTGCTCTTGCAGCCTTGGACAGGTCAGTTCTTTGGGTGGGCCCCTTCTTCACAGCCAAGGAAGTTGGATGGTCTCCCCAACTTTGTCGGGAAATACTGCCCCAAAGTCGTAGCTTGAGTTCAGGGTAATCAGCACTGTGGGCACTGGGACCGGAAGGCCGCTTGGCAAGAGGAACGGCCAGCCCAGGTCAGTGACTTGGCTTTACAGGATTAAATAGACCAGTGAGTATCGAGTACACAAATGTTATGTCGAAACGTGGCCCACAACTGGAAGGTGCTAGACCGAAGCTGCTATTTGGTGACTTTACACATCCATTTATCCTGGCTGCCTTTGTGGTTCTTAGGTGGTTTTCGCCAAAGACGACAGAGAGGACAGGGAGCTTAGACAAAGTAAGTTCGTCTTGATAGGTTCCTGTCTCTGAATCAGAATGACTATAGTTCTGGTAGGAGGTAGATGGAGGAGCCCGGGGATGAGGGAGCTGTCCACGTGATGCCCGACCCCCACCTCCCAGGAATCCTCTTGCCTGTGCTCTCTGGACTAATTCTCCTAGTGTAGTCCTGTACCTAGGACTACCTAGGCTACCTGGCTGGTAGCCTGCTGTGTATAAGGAGGAACCGAAGAGGCCAGGACAAATGGTCCCTTTAAGAAATGATTCTTTCCAGTGGTGACTTTGAATTCAGCTCCTGTTCTGAATTGTATTTATCTGTTTACAAGCTTCTCATTTTTTAATCTTTTTGTAGTTTGGTTGATCCTCTGTGGGGGCAGAGGAAAAGCAGGACTCAAGTAAAGAAAAAACTTTAGGAGAAGAGGCTGCTGCTGTTGACCAAAATAACCTTTGGAAGATACAGATGTGGACTGGGCTTAGGGTGGGCAGGAGAGCTCGTGGTCTGTATTGGCGAGCCAGCTTGGAGACTTCTGTTCTCCGGCTCCAGCTTCTTCCCTTGCTTTGTCCCGGTAGGCTCTGGGCTCCCCCTCTTCCAGCCCCAGAGTCCAGACCTCCAAGGTCCTCCAGCAGAAATCTTTACAAGGAAAGGAGCTGAGGCCAGAATAGGGAAGTGTCGTTACCCACGGTCACATAAGGAGCAGGGATTCCCATCCAGGCAGGCTGGCCCCAAACCCGGTGCTCTGGCTCCCTGGCCACACATGCTGCCTCCTGCTGCTCACCAAGAGTTCCCTCTTGTTGACTTTCATAGGGATCCTGAGGGGGCTTTTTATCTCTGTTTGCTTTTGAATACATTGGTCTCTCTGAAATGGGGTGTGCTTTCATTTTTCTCGGTCGTCCCTTTAGGGGAGCGGCTGTGGCCAGTCTTCGTTCTGTCCCCAAGATTTGTGATGGAATATGCTGACTTTGCAAAGTCTTGAATGGGGGTATGCTTTTGGTGTTTGAACCCTTGGAATTCGTGGAGATCGGCAGCGTCCTGAGTCCTGAGCATCCTTGTTCTGGAAGTAGAGGGGCCCAGGTTGACCGCGTTGACTCTCTGACTCCTGGGAGATGATAACATGGGGATCCATCAAGGTCGGGGACGTCGTCACGTGTGGACGCCTGCTCGTCCCAAAGGGGACGGCGAGCTGCCTTGATCCTTCTGCTCTCTGTGGCCTTTGTTGGGGCACGGGGCTCCAGAGGCGTGTGTGTCAGGCTGTTAGCGTAGCGTAAAGCTGATGTGTGCCCCGGTGATGGTTCCTCTGAAGAGATACACCAGTTGAGAGCGCTGTTGCTGAGTTGTGAATGCAGGGGGCATGGATGGGGAAAGCCTGGCCTGGGCTCAGCTGGTTCTTAAGCTTCACCAGCTTGAGCCACGGTGGCGACTTTGTCTCCTCTTCCCGTTCATGCTGCATCAAAGAGATCTCGAAGACGGACTCACTTCGTGGCTTTCCCGTTGCTTTCCCGGCCTTCCCTGCACCACTACTCATGGAACAGTCCTAGTAATGACGGCGTCACTGGCAGACAGTCGTGTTGTGTTTTAAAGTTGGTAAAGCGCCTTGTGTTGGATCTCATCTGGTCCACGGGCTACAGGTGTGTCAGTCACGTGTTCATTTTCCAGATGAGGAAGCTGAAGGTTGAAAGACACTTTGGCTTGTCCAGGGTCGTATTGGTGAGGTGGTGTTGGAACCCAAATCTTCCTGATCTCCTTTGTGGAAACACTTAGTCCCTCCGTTCTTTGGCCACCTTGGTTCATCGTCCCCCTTGTTAGGCAGTTGTGGTGAGGGCTGCCTTCTCCCTTAACAGCCCTCCACAAGTTAACGCTTTGAGTTAGAAAGTTTGCCCATGCAGTCGATTGAGGGGAGCTCATGATTGAGGAGGAGGTTTTCATCAGCAGTGGGAGGATTCTTGGAACTTCCTCGAAAGGGAAACGTTTGCCTCCTTTTTTTTTGCATTTAGCAAGCTGTGTAGGGGAAGGTTTAAAGAATGCCCTGTGAGTAGCAGTCAGGAGCTATAGAAATGAAAAAAAAAACCAAAACAAGTTATAGAAATGTCTCTGAAACTGATCAAGAATTGGTCCATAGGAATGTGAGGGAACTTTACAGTATTTAAATGTTATAATATGTTAATGGGCCTTGGGTACCATTGGATTGCTCCCTAGGGTCTTTAATCAATACTCTAAGAGCTGTATCTTGGGGGAGAAAAATCAGCATCAGTCCAAGACTGGTCAAAATGACCTTGTTGTCTCTCATCTCCAACAGAGGCGGCCTCAGCAACATGCTCTTCCTCTGCTCCTTACCTGACTCTGTCCGGTCTGTCTCAGACGAGCCCCGGCAAGTGCTTCTGCGCCTATATGGTGCCATTCTACAGATGGTGAGTTGATTCTTTGGGAGTGGGGGAGGAGGAAACTGGCCTAATCTGGTACTGTTGAGATGTAGTCATTTGGAGTCTGATGAGAAGGTACCTGTGTATCTTGCTCTGCCCTTTCCAATTCTATTCCTGTTCTGATTTGGTGTTTCCCTGGTGTGGGCCTCCCGCCAAGCCAGACCCTACTGTCCACTAGGGCTGGAGGGGTGAGCTAGGTATGAGTCAAAGCTGTGTTTTCTAATACCCAGGAGAATGTTCTCTTCAGAGCCTTCACAGCCTGTAAGGGACTCTTGTGGAGGAGGATTTTTGCCTGACATGGTTGGGAAATCTTAAAGCATTCCTACCCTTAAACCTTTTAAGAGGACACAAGGCTCCATCTCCCCTCGGAGGTTTGAGGCAGGAGCTTTGCATGAGGTCCAGATTCATAATCTAGCATTTCTAAGATTACCTAAAACTAGGCTCATTTGTAGATTTTTGCCTAAAAATCTAGTTTAATTTAGAGTTTGAAAGGCCACTGTTGGCTGAATTGCCTTCATTATAGTGTTTTTAACTTGCAAACGTGAAATCCTAAATATTTGTTCTCCAGAATATTTAAGCTATGTAATTAACATTTTAATGACCATAAAAAGAAATGTTTGTCAATATGAACTTTGTATATAAGCAGACTTGATGGTTACATTGACTTGCTTTTGGAAAGGTCCGTTTGCAGAACTAACAAAATTGACATTTTGCTCAAAGAGGGAAAGACTGAATACCGGGCAGTTTTCTCCTCACAATTTGTTACTGTCATATGTGGTCCCTGTCCCTACCTGGGTACAAAGTCCTTCTTGTTGAAGGACGTGTGAATTGGGTCCCACTGGTTTTTAAGAGGCTCTCTCTGTGTCTTGTTTGCCCTGGGTTCTTTCTGGGTGCCTCAGGGAGCAGCCCTACTGGACACTCCTGCCCTCACACCTTTGCCAGAGAATGAAAAATGCTCCCTATCATCCAGATGATCTTTCAGTGGGGGGAGAAACTTCTGTGTGAACAGGCCTCTTCATGATGCAGCTTTCCCTTTATTGTGTCAGGACATGAAAATGACCAAGATGTGAAAACGCTGTAAACAGTGACCTGTTTGGGGACCTTTTCGGTGCCCATCAGGGCCTTTGGTTCCTATGGCTCTTGTGAGCTTGGCTGGGGCTGTGGTCTGTTAGCTTTGCTCCCGACCCCTGAAAACCCACATTAGAAACAAAGAAAGAATGACCGAGTGAACTATTGAGAGTACCCACCTGGGCCAGTGGCGGGATGGAGATGGTCCTAGAGGGCCGGCAGTGTCGCCAGCAGGCTATTTCAGCTCTTGAAGCACCTTCAATTAATAGGGTTCAGGCCTCCAAGCAAACGTGAAGGAAGCAACAGCAGGTTCTACAGCACTTTGGGGTTCTTGTGCCTTTTTGAAAACATTAATGATTTCACTGGCAGCTGAGCCTTGAACACTGGGCCTAACATTCCAGGCCCAAACCAAGCATTGCAGTCCTGGCTTTGTTTCCCAGAGCTAGGCTCTTCTGAAATGCAACTTAATTTGAATTCTGTTATAGCCCACACTGAATTCATTCTTGAATGAGTAAGGGCCACACCCCAGGGTTGGGGGGGCCACCTCACACCTCATAGTACAGCAGGATGAAGCATTTCTGCTCTGATTGAAACAACCATAGCCACCTACTGAAAATGGGAAATTCTTTGGAGATGCTTAAGTAAAGAGAGCTGTTATCAAATCTGGCCATTAAATATCTCCACACGCTTTGGCTATAGAATACCTACCTAATTGGTCACTTCCTTAGCCAGTATAAGATTTCATGAGTTTTTATTCCCAGAGGACACAGGCCCCGGTGAGGTACCACTCACAACCAGGAGGGGGGAATCTTTGTGTGGCTGCTAATTCCCTTCCTGGAATGGCTTTTCAGAAGGGAATGGATTCTGTTCCAATGTAGCTTTTGTCAGCTACATTTGCCATGAGCCTTGCTGTGTAAACACAGAGCCCTCCAAAGGCGTGTCCTCACCCCACATTCCCAGGGCTGCTGACACCGTAGGGTGAGGCAGCTCATTCTTCCCTTTGTCCCGCGGGTCATTTCTGCAGGTGAACGTGCTGACCTGGGCCAGACTCCCCAGTGGTGATGGTGAAGTATGTGTACGAGTGGGGGAGGGGGCTGAGAACGGGGTCTCCTGGGTGTTTTGAGATGTCTAATCTCCTTTATTTCCATAGTGGCAATGAAATGACACTAAGGTTTAAGTAGCAGAGTCCAGGTAAAACTTTGAGATTGCCCTGAGGGGGGGTGCACTTTCTGTGCCCAAACATCTGTCTCTTCAGCAGCTATTTCTACGTAAGAGCAACCTAAATCACCTTCTTCACTGTTGTTCTGGAGACTTCTTTGGGGCTGATCTGTGTGAGCGTTTAGGTGGCATGTGCACATGGGGGTGGGGGGCAGGTGGGCTAGAGCCAACTTGTTCCTTTTTTTTAAAAAGTAGCATAAAGATCAACAAGACATTCATGCACTGTTTTTTATGTTTTATTTTATTTCAAAAAGCTAAACGTTTACACCATCTCTAGAAAATTTGTTACCTACATTCTGGGATCTAATCACCAAACTGCATAGAAATGCAACCATTTCAGATTTACTCCTGACAATTCTTAATGGGGTTGATGCAGGAGGAAGGCCCCCATTTTAACAAAGCAGACCAACTGGGAAGAGGGAGCCGGACAAATCAAGCTGTCTCAAGTAAAGCAGGCAGCTTGTGTTCCGACTAATAGAAATGCTGAGGGCAAGGACGAGGTGCCATTCGGGAAGGGCAGCGCCTAGTTGGTCAAAGAGAACTTGAAAGAAGACTGTCGGTTCTGGGCCCTTGAGCATACAGCTTCAATCTCTCCTTTCTGCTGTTGGGAAGCAGGAGGAGGAGCCAATTTGGCAGGTTTACAAACCATCCATCACCAGTTTTGGAAGACACAAATGGTCAGTCTGTATTGCTCATTCGATGGAACCTCTGTCAATGGGTTACATTTGCCTCAGAGGAACACTATGTACCTTCCTCAGACAGAATTCTGATTCTCTGTTTAAACTGATTCCTGTGCATGAATGGGAAAATTTGGCCTTGCCCATTATGGGCAATCCCCCTGGCATGAATGTCTGTATCCATACACATCAAGGGGCCTCTTGATTGTGGGTTTCAGTTGGGTTTTGGTTTTTGTTTTTGTTTTTGAACAGTAGAATGCTAATACTAGTGCTTGTTTGAATACTAACCATAATGAAGTTAAAAGGTTCAAGGCCCAAGGCAGATATGCTTTAATAATTCAAAAAAAGATACTTGGGAGACATTTTTTTTTTCCTTTTACCTTTCCGGCTGGTTTCCCAGGAAACCACTCTCCTTCCCTTCCTCCCTCCTTTCTAAGTGAATATAAATATTTGCTTGTAGTAGCCTGTGAACCATTAACTGTAAAGCATTATGTCCTCTGAAGCAAAGTGACTTCTATTATTTTCTTCTCTTGGGAAACCAGAGCCACTCATTTTGGGATCTCACAAGTTTAATAACTGGATCAGTCTCATGCCATTTTGTGAGCACTCCTGTTAACAGACTGTTGTTCTCGATAATACCTTTCAGAAGTTCTTTGATTTTGTTAATTCCCTGGAGTCTTCAAAAAACTGGTTTCCTTTGCGTGATGAACACTTTATAACAAGTTGCCACAAACTAGAAATAACTTTGAATTCAATTTGTTTTCGTTGCTAATAGGATCACTGATTCAGTTACATTTACTTTTGTTCAGTTGCTTAAAAAAACCAAACCAAACCAACAGGCCGGCACAGTGCCGCTGGGCCTGTGTGAGAGTCAGGCCTCGGCTGGTTTGATCACCTCAGCCCAGACCAGCTCTCCTCTAGAGAGAAGACTTCCTGTGCCCATTAAGTTTTCGTGGCCCTGAGCTGACCCCAGAGCCAAGATGGCAACCAGATCACTGCCCCAGAGTCCTCCCATACCTGCTTTGGTGCCTCCTTCGGGCGGCTCCATTGTCCAATCTCAACAGTCTTAAGTCTCTTTGTGTGGCTGGTCCTAAATGTTTGGGGGTTTGTCGCATGATGCCAACACAGATGCCTGGTGCCTGGCTGAGCACCTCGGATGGGGACGTGGCTGTGCTGGGTGGCGCGAAGGGGTCTGGAGGGTAATGTACCACTTTAGCTGTATGTGCATGTGTTCTCTGCTGCAGGCTTGCCCATGCGATCGTGCCTAGAGCACTCTGGTTTCCAGGTGACAGACACGATTCACGGTATAGTATATGAGACCTCTGAAGTGGGAGCATTCTCTACAGCTCTAATTTCTTTCTTTTAGTTCTTGGTTTCAAGAAATGCTTTTTAAAAAGAAAGTTGTAATGCTTTTTTAAGTAGCACCAACTACCTAAGTCGGGGCTGGGTTTGTAGAGCTCGACAGCAGCTGCCGGTCCAGAGGGGGGCCACCTGGTCCTCGGGTGAGGCGAACCAGACACCTGGTTTCTGTTTCCTCAGTAAAGAATGATGCTTAATCTCCTAGTCCCTGATGGGGACCCTCGCTTCTCAGGATCCTGGTGAGGTGTGGGAGGTTTGAGGCTTCCTTCCTCCACACCACTTTGAACACGTAGTAAATAAACCCTGTCTGCCCGTGTAAATCCATATTGGAGACTTAGCTCTGTGGAGCTCCAACCCCCAGGATTTAGCATCAACCCTACCCCCGCCCCCCATCCCCAGATCTTAGGACATGACATTTTAAATGTCATTAAATGAATTTGAAATTAGTTTTCTTTATTGGTGACATTCTGGGGCATCCTAGATAGGAGGGTTGGAAATCACTAATCCAGTGTCTTTCCTCTGTCACTGTTCCTTGTACCAATTGCTCTCGTACTTTGACAAAAGAAAATTTTCCCTCTGGCCCTTGAAAATTCCCTGGGACATTCCAAGTTTGGAAGAACCGGACTCCCCTGTTTCTGGGAGGATCCAGGTTTCCGTGACAGGCCATGTGCTGAGGTTCACCCTGCCTCGAGGCCCAGGGATCTAGCCTTTTCTTCTCGGCTCCCCTTGCTTGGGTTAAAAAGGAAAATCCAGGCTAAGGAGAGAGACGTTATTTTCCCTACTACAAATCCATTTGGTCCTGGAGCTCAGGCTGACCCTTGTACACACGTGGCCTTAACCCTCCTGCTGTGTTTCCTCTTCCGTGAAATGAGGAAGTTACCTGTGATCCTGTCCCCTCGGAATCCGGCCGTGGACGGTGTAGGTGTTGTCTGTCTCCCATGAGCTGCGGCCGAAAGGCCGGCCCCGGCTTCTGAGCTCCTCTTCTGTTTAGCTGGGCGTGAATAGAAAATCGATGGAAGCTTCTGCAGCCACTGTCAGGCTTTTAACGTTTTATTTCCGCAGCCACTGTAGTATTTGTTGATGAGCTCTTTTTTGGCTCTGCAGCTGCTCCCCCACAAATGCTCAGATGGATTCCTTCACGAATGAGATTGCCATTTTTTCTGGCCCATAAACACCTGAGATCTCATTGGGTGCTGTTATTAAAGACAGTTCTAACGACATACCAAGGCCTGTCGGTCAAACATTTACCCAACTTGGAAAGCCATTTGTGTCCCTTGGGTAGAATTTCAAGCATCCTCCCAGTGGAAGAAAAGAGCTGGTGGAATTCGCTGGCTTGGGGTGCATCTCTCTGTCTTCACCGGAGGAGATGTCCTCCTGTCTTTTCTCAGATCATGATCAGACTCCTGCTCCGTCTCTTTCATTGTCCCTGACGTGATTGGAGAAGCTTTGTCTTCTGTACTAAGGAAACAGACCAGAGCCGGGTTGCCTCCTGGTGGTGCTGCTGCTCTTTCAGACCATCTCCCATTGGTCCCATTCGGTGGAGGGGGGGGGAGGAGGGAGACAAGGGAGGACGGCAGATTCCTTTGTAAAGGAGCTAACTGTAAAAAGGGATGATGGCCTTAACAAAGAGAAATGGCGTGGCCCCTCAGGTCTTGAGAAAACGAAGCAATTTGTAACTTTGGATGGAATGACTTTCTTTCAGGAGCACCATTAGGTAAGGCAAAGGGGCTTCTTCTATTGGCAGACTAACCTTTTAACTGTGTCACCCCCAAGAAGATACAGCTCTTGTTGTAACAGTGAGGTAATGACCGTAGCTCTGTTTAGAATTTGTATGCAGGTCAAATCCCGTTACAACACCTTACAGGCAGATAGGCGCGAAGCTTTTGGTTTAGCTTTTCTCAAATAGTTTCATTAGCCCTGGGAGGTTGGAGGGGGAGGCGGTGTGGGCCAGAAGGGAGGGTCGGGGAGGGGGAGGTAGCCTGCATCCAGCAGGGTGCGCGCCTGGGTTGACCCCACGGCCTAGCCCGTGTGCCCTTAGAGAGAGGTTTAGGGTTACTGGCCTCTAGAGCATTCAGAGCACTCAGCCAGCTCCTTGGCAGTGACTTGGGAGCATTTCCCCAGCACCTTCCCCTGCCTCCCATCTCCTCCTGGGGTGCCCAGCACCAGGCTTTAATGGCTTGCCCTCAAAAAACGTAATCTAATTGGATGGGAGAGATTTCTTTATGGGACCTTTGGAGTCTAATTTGAAGGCACTAGATGATAGCTAACATTTATATTTCTTTAAGGTTTGCAAAACGCTTTACACACATTCTAACTTGACCCTCACAACAGCCCTGTGAGGTAGGTGCTATTTTTATCCTCATTTTACAGGTGAGAAAACTGTTAACAAGAGAGGTTATTTGACTTGGCCAGGGTAACACTTATTAATAAGTGTCTGAAATGGGATTCAAACTCAGGTCTTCCCGACTCCAAGTCCAACACTGTCCACTGCACCAAGCAGCCTCCCAACAAAGGAGTGAGTGCTTTAGAGAAGGACAGAACTAGAGTGTTTATCACACGGAATTCACAGAGCAGGATTTCTTTAGCATGAGGTCACGGCCTAGCAATAGGTTTTTTCCCCGACTTTGAGTTGTAATGGCTTTCCTTGTAACGGGATTTGACCTATAGCACCTTTGCTCAGAGGCAGTAAGAATTGCACCAGGTGGCCTCACTTGTCCTTCGGTCTAGCAAGCCAGCTGGGCTTCAGTGCTTAGGTGGGGCTGAGTGAGCGTGTGCAGTCGGGCCTGGAGGACACCTTCCTAATGAGAAGCTTTCATTTTGTCTCCTTGCCTCTTGGGTAAAGTGAGCAGGCGCCCTCAGCGCCATATGCTCCCCAAGTCGGTCCCAGGCCGTGTTGTTTCCCTGCTGCCAGAGTAGCTGGAGAGGCTTACCTGGCCCTCCCTGTTTCCCAGCCACATTGCCACCTTGGGCGCAGGTGTTTTGATAAAGCTGTGGAACTGGAAGGTGAGCTGTTCATGACGTTCCACAACCTCTAGTCCCTTTTTTGGAAATTTAGAAAAAAGAGGCGTCCCTTACGGGCTTCTTTGTGTTTGTCCTCTAGCAGTGTAGAAGAAGCTGGATTTGGGGAGGCACTCTCGGAAGGTCAAGCTGCTGCCATGACAATGATCTTGTTGGCTTCCTTCTGCCCCATCCCCCTATTAAAGATGGCAGAGCCCAGGGGATGGCAGGGAGTCTGGTGGTGCATTTTAAAAAGCTTCTCGAGAGCTTTGAATGAAATCTTTGTTTAGTAACCTGTTGGTGAGCATAGAATTTATTTTACAGTTTCCTTGAGGAAAGCAATAGACAGTTATCTCCTGTCTAGCAGGGGACCTAAGCAGTTGGGAGATTTCACTTAAATTCTCACAAGCCCGTTTGTGATGCAGGAAGGAGGGGATGACTACTTACTTGGGGAACTGCTTTGAAAAGTCAGTGACCAGTTAGATGAGCCAGAAGCGTTCCTGTCCGTGCACAGCCCAGTCAGGGCAGAGGCCGGGCCGGCTTCCGGCTGTCCTGGGAGGAGGGGAGTCTCACTCAGCCTCTTAGAACTTCCTCTGAGGAGATGGAAGCATTCCAGTCACTTGTCTCTAGCAGTGAAATTGCTCCTGGGTGCTCGGGTGGCTGTCGGAAGGTGAACTTGCTATTTGGACTTGGGGCTCAGTCTTTTTTCTCATAAAGATACTTGGAGCCCTCGTAAGGTGTTGGTGCATATTTATGTTGGATTTTGGTGGCGTAGTCTAGGCTGACGCTGGTCAGATCTGACCGTAAAAAGGCTAGCTCTCCTAGTTCTGTGATTCGGTTTTGTCTAGTAGTGATGGCTCAAGCTAGAGTCTGCACTCGCCTTCACCACCTCACTGCGAGTGTTTGCTTGTTCTCCTTCATAGAGGTCCTGTAATAAGGAAGGAGCTGGACCAGCCCAGAACGAGGACGCGTGCCAGGTGAGTAATCCTGGCAGACATGGGGTGGGCAGCCCTCCTCCGAGAAGGGCCCTTCTGCTGGGGGCCGGCTAGACAGCCCCGCCTCTCCACCTCTCTCTGACTCTGACTCTGGCTCTGCGTCAGATTCGAGCGTGGCAGATGCAGGGCCGCAGCTCTTTGGTGGGAGGGAGGAGCCAGGCTCCTAAATGGAGTCACGGGGGAAGGTGTGAGCACAGCTAACAGCCGGATGAGAAGACTGGAGCCTTGGGCTGAGTGCAACAACATAAAATGCAGCATGGGGTGAATTTAAAACCTTGAATCAGGTGCAAAAAAAAAAAAAATCAGCCTTGTGTAGTACAAAATGTAGGGCAGGGGTAGGATGGAAAGCATGTTGCATGTCCATCGGAGTCAGCTGTAGAGAGCTCGGGGGCGATGGACGAGGGAGGTGAGAGGGGACCAGCCTCCAGGACCAAGGAGACCCACTGGGCTCTGCCCGCGTCTGCAGTGGTGGGTTCAGGTCTGGGCAAGGCAGTGTGACAAGCCAGAGGGTCTGGAGGTGGGCAGCCAGCTTGGGGAAGAGCCCAGAGGCCGCATCAGCTGCGGTGGATTGCCAGGCTGTGGGGGAGAGTCATTCGGCTTGTTTTCTGAAGCCCCTCGAGGCCGTGGGCATCCATCGACAGCCAAGGCTGCTGCTCCTGCTCCACGGCTCGCTCACGTCCAGCCCCTCATAAATTCCCTTTGAATGCTGCCTTCTGGCCTGAAAGAAAAACAAATTGGGGGTGGGGTATGGAAGTAGAAGGGAATTTAGAGGCCTCTGTCTAATCCAACCCACTAGGAGACCCCTCAGGCAGAGGCTATTTGCTGGAGATCTTAGCAAGTTGGACTAGTTAGAGGGGGGCTAGGAGTGGAGGGAAAGTAGGCTTTCAGATGACCTGAGGCCTTGAGGCCCACAAGGCTTTGGGGCTTAGTGCAGGCCTAACCCCTGGGCCACCCTCCATCCAAAGGAAAAGTGTGGGAGGTCAGAAGTACATGATCCACAGATGATCCTAACCTCCCCTCCCCTGGAGCAGGTCAGGGTCAGCAGGAAGCGCCGTGGGTCAATTCCAGAACAGGGAGAGTGACCGTTCTTTCCTCTTTGTGTCTGTGTAGGGTGCCGAGGCCATGGTGCTGGAAAGCGTTATGTTCGCCATTCTTGCCGAGCGGTCCCTTGGCCCAAAGCTGTATGGAATCTTTCCACAAGGCCGCCTGGAGCAGTTCATCCCCGTAAGAATCCTTCCTTTTCCGTGGGCGCTTTTGCGATAGGGGCAGAGTCTCCAAAGGTGGTTTTATTTTATGCATTGCTCGATTCAGAAAAGCTGATAAGGCAGCTTTGTGAAAGATGGCTGTTCAGAAGGAGTTACACACGTGCACCTGGTTCCCTAAATCCAGCCAGGATTCCATTTCTTAATTGGGTATTTAAAAAGTTTTGAACATCAGACTTGAGCTGGAGCAGCAGTCAGTGGGCTTTTTTTTTATTTAATTTGGGGAGGCAGTTGGAGTTAAGTGAGTGTTATGTGTCTGAGGCCGGATTTGAACTCAGGTCCTCCAGACTCCAAGGAGTCAGGCGCTCCATCCACTGCGCCACCTAACTGCCCCTTCAGCATTTTCTTTTGCAAGTAAATCTTTGAACCCTAACTGTCCTGCAAAGACAACCCAGAACAGAGAGGACCTGCGTGCCCACCCAGAGCCATGCTGGATCCTCACACTCTCCCGGACAGAACTTTGAGCCCCATCTCGTTAGCTCTTGGAACCTCAGTCAGCTAAGAAGGAGCTGGGAGAGTGAGCGGGTTGCCTCTGGGGGCCTCTGCGCCTGGGATCCAGCAGCCCATGCCCTTGAAAAGTCACCCGCTCTGGGGCACGGGGGCAGCCTCTCAGACCTGTGGCTCCTGAACCTTGTAGGGGTTGAAAGAAGAGGCCAAGGTCTGTCTGTCGCTGGTGTGGCCAAAGGGAAACCTCCTTCAGAGTCAGTCGGCAGGGTCTAGTACGTCCAGGAGTCTCAGGGAAGGAGGGCAGTTGTTTCCATAGCTTCAGAATGTCAGGTGGCTTCCCCCCATAGACTCACTCCACGAGATGCTGCCTGCCCCAACCCCCCCCTTTTTTTTTGCTTTTTTTGGTGAGGCAATTGGGGTTAAGTGACTTTCCCAGGGTCACACAGCTAGTAAGTGTCAAGTGACTGGATTTGAACTCGGGTCCTTCTGACTCCAAGGCCAGAGCTCTCGGCTTGCCTGCCCCTTTTTGAGGGCTCTGGTGTCAGCAACATGTTCCAGGGGACAGACTGTGTGCCCTGGCCTTTCTCCTTCTGAGTGGACACGGGCGAGGGGCTCACTCCCTACTCCCGTCTCCCGGGTTTCCCGTCATGAGCACCTGGTTCCTGCTGGTTGGTCAGCATTTAGTCTGTCCTTGGGTCGTTTCATTAGGGTTAGGTGGGAGACGGGTCAAACTGCTCCCCTCTGTCCCTGCGAGATGAAGGGTCACAGGCCACTGTCTGTCTCTTCTATTCGGGCATGCCAGAACGAACAAATGATTTTGTGGGGGGAACGTCACTGGGGCTCTTTGGCTCCCGCCTTTTCAAGGTCGTGGAATATCATGATGACCCCCGAGAAGGGGAGGGCCTTGGCTTGTTTCGTTTCTCGGCATGGAATGCTGAGGCCCGTCTGCAAGTTAGCCTGGGTCTTGGGTGTTGTGTCTCAGTTTCCTCATCTGTAAAATGGGGATCAATACCTCCCAGGGGCGGGGGTTGTGAGGATCCCATGAGAGAATGTTTGACACGTAGGAGGGCCCTTAGTGCTTATTTCATTCCTTCCTTCTTGAGGGGAGAGCTGGACTAAAAGCAGTTATTGTGATGGTGACTGAGCCTAGAGTGAGCATTGGTAGCTAGAACAGGTGCTTGGAATCTTGGACTGCGTGAATAAAAGAGATATCTCGTCTGGGGACAGAGACCTTGCCAGACTGTCCTGGTGGGACCAGCCCTGGAGGACCGCATTTGGACCAACGGAAGGTGACCCCAGAGAGGCTGTTTGAGAGAGTTGTTTTCAGAGCTGCTCTGGGTGGCCTCAGAGGATGGCGAGTTGCACAGATTGTGACACGGGGTAGGGATAATGGCCGTCAAGAAGCAGAGGTGCCCCTGAGCAGGGGCCTGGGCCGTCCCCAGGGAGAGCATCTTCTGCTTTGCTCGGGGCAGGAGGGAGATATGACTGTATTTTATTTTTCTCTTTCTAGAGCCGCCGTTTGGACACTGAGGAGTTAAGTTTGCCAGATATCTCTGCAGAAATAGCTGAGAAAATGGCCACGTTCCATGGTATGAAGATGCCATTCAATAAAGAACCCAAATGGCTTTTTGGAACCATGGACAAGTAAGTGGTGAGACCGGCCTGGCCGGTGTTGCGTCGTCCATGAGCGATGCCCGCTTGTCTGCCTCTTCCTGAAGTGGTCGGTGGTGGTGGTGTAGTTTGCTAAGTTGCACCTCCAGAGCCTGGCCCTGCCCCCTGGACTTCAGCCCCTTCCGCGTCTCAGTTCTGAGACGTGACATTAAGCAGGTTGCTGGCCGACAGTGTAGGCCCCCCAGGCCCCAGTCATCCCTGGCTCAGCTTGGATGGGATAGTGGAGGGGTCTCCTGAGAATGTAGGATTGCATTTGTGAGCTTGCCTCAGGTTCATCAGACTGTCTGTAGAACAAACACAAAAAGCTAAAATCAATTGTCTAAGCATCCTTTTTCTTTTTTTCACAAAGATATTTAAATCAAGTTCTGAGAATTAAATTTACCAGAGAATCCAGAGTTAAAAAACTAAACAAACTCCTCAGTTATAATCTGCCTTTGGAAATGGAAAATCTAAGGTGAGTTTTCCTTCTATTTTTTTGATCCTATGAATTAGTCTATCTAAAAGATTAAGTTTTCTCACTGGCACCTTAGCCATCTTATAATTGACTCAAAAATGTAGAACCTGTGAGATCCCATTGCTTGCTTTGGAAAAGGCCCTGGGCTCCATCAGGAGAACACAAGGCCGCCTCAGTAGTGCCTTCAGGGTCGAGAACCCTGTTGCATGGCCTCTGATCTGAACGTTTGGAGAGGCATAAAAGGCATGTCCACAGCACTGAGATGGAGGAGACCCAGTGCAGAGTGCAGGGGAAGGAAGTGCGGCCTGGTCCTCTGGCTCCACGACTCTGCCGAGTCTCCCGAAGGAGACCTGCTACTGTCCGTGCAGCAAAGGCTAAGGGGAGGAACAGGACCTCTTGACCGGGTTTCGCCACACATCTGGGTGGACACTCTTTACAACTTGTCTGGCCGTACCATCAGGCAGTGAGCCGAGCCCCTGGCTGAACAAGGAATATGAGGTGGGCTGGATTGCGTGGCAGGAAGATGAGGAGATGGTCCCTCGTCAAGAGGGAAAAACGACGTGCTCTGTTGGTGTGGCACCGTCGCCATGTCAGAGACGAGGAGGAGTGTACCCACTCCATGGCCAGCTTTTGGGAGGGCCTACGTGGATTCTCTGTGTCATTGAATGAAGCTCAGTATATGAACAAGATCCCCGACACTCACCACCGCCATGCTGGTCATCTGGAACTCCCATGCTGGAACACTGTCCTGGTCTTTTAGGGAGTAAAGGGGAGCACCCAGAGAGGCGTCTTCCAAAGGCCTCAGGGCTGCCACATGCAGCCTGGGCACAGCTGACAGAGTCCCTTCTCCAGACGTCATGAAACACCTTTTCTCTAAGCTGTCCCACAAGCCTTGGATGCTTTCTAGAGGAAGTCAGTTTTAGGAGCCAGCCAAATGACGGAAGAGAAATCGGTGGGCTGGGGAAGCTGCTGGAGACATTGAGCTGCACCCCAGGGCTGGGCCTCCCCGCTTGGCCCAGGGCCGGACAGTGCTTGCTGGTGAGGGAGGTGGAGGTGCCCAGACGAGGGCTCATCTGTGGTCTGCGCAGGTGGTGTCCAGCCCCTTCCCACCTTGGCCTCGAGCTTCTGAAGCATGTGCGTGTGCGCGTGTGATACTGAAAAGTACGTCCTTTTCTAGGTCTTTGCTGGAGTCGACGTCGTCGCCGGTGGTGTTTTGCCATAATGACTGCCAAGAAGGTAGGAGGTGATGCCAGGGGTGGGGGTGGGGCAGACCTCTCCTTGTCCTGCGGTCGCCTTGCGGGTGGGTGGGCTTGATTGTCAAAGGTCAGTCACCACTGGCTTGGTCCTGGGTGCAACCTCCTGCACCTGCTTCTCCACAGATGACTCGCTTCAGGGAATCACTCTCCCTGACTTGACAGAAAACCACTCCTGCGCGTTTAAAACTAAAGGAACTCACGAATCCCACCCAAATAGACAGTGAAGGCAACTGGGGGGCGCCACAGGGCACGGAGCACTGGACCTGGAGTCAGAAACACTTGGGTTCAAATCCAGCCTCAGCACTCACTGGCTGTGTGACCTTGGGCAAGTCACTTCACTTGTCTGCCTCAGTTTCCTCAACTGTAGAATGAGGTTGCCTAGAAGAGTTGTTGTGAAGATCAAACAAGACTCTATTTGTAGAGTGCTTAGCACAGCGCCTGGCACATGGTAGGGGCTTAATACATGTTTGAGCCCTTCCTCCAATATGCTGCAGAATCTATTGGCTTCGTGGTGCCATTGATCCTTATCATTAGCAGGAGTGCCCCATGTCTCCCGGCCATCAATGCCAAACCATGGTCAGTACAGCCTTTAGTCCAACGGCCTTCAGTTACATAAGCTACCGGTTGGGAACCACACATTGGTTACTAGGTGGGACAGTGATGTCAGACCAGAACTGGGCATTGCGGTCTGGCATTGGGCTCTCATCCCTTCCTGTCCAAGCATGTCAGGAGGCTCCAGAGTGGTGACATCTGTGGGCTGCTATCAGGATGTTGCATTAGGGTTAGCATAGTAAGAGGAGCCCAGTGGAAGGGCCTCCAGTGGCTGGCCCTGGGTTTCAAGAGAGCGCACTAGACTAGCAAGCCACCCAGTGACCGCCTACTGGGGTGCACTTTGACCCAGGGGTCATACTCCTCAGTAAAAAGGCTGTGGGGCCAATTCTCTTGTAGGGAACATCCTCTTTTTGGAAGGTGGGGAGAACTGGGAAAAGCAGAAGCTGATGCTCATCGACTTTGAATACAGCAGTTACAATTACAGGTAACGTGTCCCATGGGCCTGTCGGCTGCTGCGTGGTCTGCTTGCTGTTTGACTATTTTGAAAATCCTATTGAATGGAAAAATCAGGAAGCCAGAGCAGCTTCTCCAGGGTGGGCACATAGGGCAGGGGAGTCGTGATGTTATGCCAGGCGGAGGGAAAAGCTGTTGGCGTGGACCATCCTTCGTTTTTATGATGTTAAAAGTAGTTTTAAAGATAGCGGGAGAGAGAAGCAAGATCGAAAACTATAATGTTTGAGCTGAAGAGTGCTCATTTCTGGGGAGAGGGAGGGATTCGTTTTTCAACAAAAACAGTACTAAGAAAATTGGATAGTTTCTTGGGGAGGGGGAAAGAACTAGACTTATCATCTTATGCCATGGACTGTAATAAATTTTAATCAAGTCAGGGATGTGGATATCAAAAAGGCACATCATTTTTTAAAATGAGAGGAGAATAGAAGGTTATCTCTTTCACGAATGTAGGTAGAATTTTTAACCAGTCATGACTTCAAGGAAATGGAGACGAAATTGGTGAATTTAGTTATGTAAAACAGAAAAGAAATGCACAGCAAAAAGCAATGAACCCAAAATAATAAGGAAAGATAATGAATGGGGAAGATCTAACAGATAAGTGGTCAGAGGATATGAACAGCATTTCTTAAAATAAATATAAATTGTCAATAACTATTTGAAAAAGTGTTGCATGTTACTTTGTAAAATAAAAGAGCTCTTCATCATCTTCTTCCCATTCAGTTGGTAAGAATAGTAATAAAAAAAAGGACAAAGTTGAACGCTTAGTACGTACAGTGCACCAATTCCCGGTTCTGACCAACCTTTTTAGAAAGCAATCTGGAATCATATAATGGGAGCTAGAAAAAAACATTCACAATCTTTGATCAGATGATCCCACTGCTATCCCTAAGGATGTTTTGGTTTTTTCCCTAATAGTATTTTATTTTTTTCCAATTACATGTAAAGACAGTTTTCAGCATTGGTTTTTAATGAGATTTTGACTTCTGTACATACCTCTGTTCCTAAGAAGCAAATAAGGGGGAAGCCATTGACTAAGTGTTAATAGAGAAATGAAACAGAATGTTCTGGCTCTCGTAAGAAATGCTGCCTCTGCACTGTCGTGCAGCCGTGTTAAGTCCGCATGCAGCCAAATGGTGCCAGAGAGAGGGTGCGTTTGCCAGGCTTAGGTGGTGCGTTGCTGGTGCAGAATTTACCTCCACTATTGATTGTCAGAGATACTGGTGTGCTTTGCCATTTCCTTCTGCAGTTCATTTTACAGATGAGGAAACTGAGGCAAACAGGGTAAAATGACTTGCCACAGTAAGTTTTTGAGGCCGGATCTGAACTTGGGTCTTCCTGACTCCAGTCCTGACACCCTGTCCACTATATCACCAAATATAAAAGGTTGGAGGATTTTTGTGGTCCATGTTCCCAACTAGTCCTTATCCCATGTCATGGGGAGCCAGAGGATTGGTGTCCCATCTCACTGGACATTTACTATCTGGGTGACCTTGGGCCAGGTGCTTCTTATCCCTGGGCCTCAGTTTCCTTATCTGTAAAATGAGAGGGTTGCACTCTAGGCCTGGGGTCTTGTGACCCAAATGAACACTTTGCGGACCAGCCAGATGGCAGGTTATCTGCCATATCCTGAGCGTGGCGATGTGTTTTCTTATTGCAGAGGCTTTGACATCGGGAATCACTTCTGCGAGTGGATGTATGACTACACTTATGAAAAGTACCCCTTTTTCAGAGCCAACATCCTGAAGTACCCTACCAAGAAACAACAGGTATGTCCACATCTCAGGTGGTTTTGCCCGTAGGCATTGGTCACCTCCTCTGTAAGCAGCCAGACACGTGTCCTGAAGAATCCTGCACAAGGTAGCTCTGGGAGGGGGCCGAGTACAGGAGGGGGCACGTCTTAGGCATTGGCCCACTTTGGGACGCAGCCAGGGGCTTTTGGAGAGAGCATGCGCTGTAGGGAGCCTGACTTTCTGTGGTTATGACAGAACTCAGATGCCCAGAGAAGAAAAGCAGAGGGAGTGGGTTTCCTTTGTAATCCTATGATTCTGATTTTACGCACTTCAAAGCCGTGATAGCGGGAAGGAGCCCTGAGGCCCTCTGGGCACATCATGCGTGGCCGGGCCCCAGGAGGGACTTTCTCCTCATCCCGTACATTCTGTGCTGCTGGGCCTGGGTGTGGTGACTAGATGGGTCAGAGGCGCAGGGATGCACAGGACCTTTGTGTCCAGCGGGCACTCAGTGGATGTCTGAGATTCCAAAAGGAGACCTAGGGAAGACAAGAGGTTCGAGTGAACTGCAGGCTGAGTGGGAGCCCAAAATGAGAGAGAGGGAGAAAGCCCCACACAGCACGAGCTCAGTACCAGTGAAGGGGCGGCGAGCACCTTCTCTGTACCAGGCTCGGATGAGGAAAGGGCCCCTCTCCTCACCAGGACCAGCCCTTTGGGTGTGCTCTGGACCCAGTCTGTCCTGTCTTCTGCAGATTGCCCCCGTGGTCCTCCTCTCACCCTCTCATCTTCGCCAACCCCCTATGAACACAGCTGTAGTTCCCCCATCCTGAAAAACCTGAAGGGGCAGCTGCCTCTTCCCTTTGGCATGTAGTAGGCCCTCTAAGCAGTGCTTATTGCTTGATTGATTCAGCCCTCCTGTCCTGGACAGCCTGAAGCATACTCAGACTTGTGGAGAGGAGCCTTAGAAGGTGTAATCTGAATAGGGGGGAGGGCGGCAGTCTGGGCTCATGCTCAGAGCTCCACATGAGGGAAAGTGACCTTGGGGTCAGCCCCAGCCTTGCCAGGCATTGCCCTGCCGAGTGACTGCAGGGCAGAGGACCCACTTGGGGTGCCACCGCCCCCAGAGCTAGTGCAGAAAGAATCCTGTTTTTGGCAGAGGCTGTCTTTCTATTTGGCCAGTTGGTGGGAGAGGGGAAGGGCATTGAAGCTGGGAATGAAGTGCCTGGTGCCAGGGTCCAGCTCCATGCTGCCCTCTAGTGGGCTGTCCACCATCTTCTCTCCCCTGAAGCCAAGGAACCCTCTATGATCATTCTCCTGTTGAGTGTTTGGACAAGACATTTCCGCGGGTAAAAGGTGACATCGAGCAGAAAGGCTGCCTGGAGAAAAGGCGAGCCCTGGGGGGAGAAGGAGTGCAATGGAGACATGGAGAGGGACGCTGGAGGGAGGAGGGCACAGTGTTGAGGAAAGAGAAGAGGCGTGGTGAAGGCTACCCAGAAATTGCTGCAGAGCGTGTGTGGAACATGGCGAAGCGTTGCAAGTTTGCCCGCCTGCAGGCCAAACTCGTGCCTAGATTCAGGGGTGCAACTTCTTGCTGCATGTTGTAGAGAGCCCTGGCCCCTGGAAGAGGGGGAGTGGGCTGGTCCAGCTTCACGTTTTCAAGTGGGAAATGGCTTTGGAATCCCATCATACCCATCAGAATACCTGGAGCCTTGGGTTGTGTTTCTGGGTTTGCAGCCTTGCCTCAGTGGCCCTGGGGCAGGACTGCCTGAGGCCAGACGAACTGACCATTTCTGAAGTCTGGCTGTAACTTAGGGTGCTGGAAGACATCTTCTCCCTTCACAAAGACTTCATGGCCAGTTTACTTTAAATAGCTCTTTGTTGTTGCTGTTCAGTCGTGTCTGACTCTTTGTGACCCATAGACCGTAGCACGCCAGGCCCTTCCATCCTGCGCCATCTCCCAAAGTCTGTCCAAGCTCACGTTCGTTGCTTCCATGCCAGCATCCATCCATCTTTTCCAGTGAGTCTCATCTTCTCGTAATGTGGCCAGAGTATTTAAGCTTCAGTATTTGTCCTTCCAGTGAATAGTCTGAGTTCGTTTCTTTAAGTATTGAGTGGTTTGATCTCTTGCTGTCCAACGGTCTCTCAGAAGTCTTCTGGAGCGCCACAGTTCAAAGGTGTTGATTCTGCCATGCTCGGCTTTCTTTACCCTCCAGCTGTCACAGCCATACGCTGCTACTGGAAAAACTCTAGCTCCGACCATGCGGACCGTTGTCAGCGAGATGACGTCTCTGCTCTTTAGCCTGCTGTGCAGGTTTGCCAGAGCGTTCCTTCCAAGGAGCAAGCGTCTTTTAATTTCCTGGTTGCAGTCTTTGCAGCGATCTGAGCCCAAGAATATAAAATCTGACATTGTTCCCATTTCTTCTTTCTCTATTTGCCGGGCAGTGAAGGGACTTAACAGCAATATCATGTCCAAAGTGTTTTTAACATATGCACGAATGTGTGGGGGTCAGCCTCCCAGATCCCTTGGAGCTTGGGATGGGTAACCTGCTGTGTGATCCTCTTAGAGCCGTGGTTGTAGCTAAGCCCTGATAGAGAGGCTTCTTGTCAGCCCTGAGACATCCCTTTGGTTAGCCTGGAGCATTCTCAGCCATCCTGAGACTGCTTCAGGAGGCCAGCTCTTTGCGCTCAGTCACCTAGGTCTCTGGGTTTGCAGGCAGCACCATTCCCTCTCTTCGTTTACGGGGTGCTTTGGCTTTTCCCACAGTGGGGGGGCTGCTGCAGTTTGTAGAAATCGATGGTTGTCTTCATTTTGTGTTCTCTTCATTTTCGTGTGACTTTTCTTCAAATTTTCAAGTCTTCCTTAGTTTCTCTGAATGTCGTTTATTTGAGGAAATTTCTCAGAATACCTGGTACAGTTTCTCTGTTCTGTCTCCATTGCTTCTGGTGCTTTGAACTGACTGATTAATTGTTGCATTATGTTTTAAGTATCCATGCTCTGCTTTGACACCTACTGTGTGCCAGGAACTGTCCTAAGCCCTGGGGGTACAGAAAGGCAAAACCAGCCCCTGCCCTCGAGGAGCTCACGTTCTACGGGAGAGGCAGCGTGTGCAGACAGCCGTTAGGAGTTGTTTTTAAGAATTCCTTCAACCCCCGATTTCTTGGCTCATTCTCGTCTGATGATGATTAAAAGTTAACAACAACCTCAGATCGTGCGGCAGGTGACAGCAGGGCCTGGGGCCTCTGGCTCTGCCGAGTCACATGCACATCTTGTCCTGTTTGTGATTGAACCCTTTCTTTTTTTTAGCTTCATTTTATTTCTAACTACTTGGCTGCCTTCCACGATGGATTTGAAAACCTCAGCGACAAGGAGAAGTCCAGGATGGAGGAAGAAACATTGGTGGAAATCAACAGGTGACCTTTCTCATTGCACAGGGACGCTCGTGCTCGTTGTCATCTGGTGTGTTAGGTGTCTCTGAGCGGAGCGCAGGGGGCCTCGGGTTTGCACGGGTGGACGTGATTGGTCACATTTCCTGGTCCACTGTCAGGCACTGGTCAGAGCTTGTTTAATGACAGAGCCCTGCTGCTGGCAGACTTGAACTAATTGCTTGGCAGGCTCTTTGGGCTCAGGTAAGACTGTCTTTGTAGACGGTGGGGTATGGAAATCTATCCTATCCTACAGGAAAATAAGGGGGGGAAGGGGAACAAGGAACAAGAGAGCAGGGGGTTGATAGAGGGGAGGGCAGATTGGAGGAGGGGATAATCAGAAGCAAACACTTCTGAGGAGGGACAGGGTCAAAAGAGAGAATAGAATAAATGGGGGTGGGATAGGATGAAGGAACTATACTCATTTTTTCACAACAGGACTGCTATGAAAGTGTTTTGCATGACTATACACCTATAACCTGTATCGAGATGTTTGCTTTTTCAATGAGAGTGGGTGGGGAGGGAGGAAGGGAGAAAATTTGTAACCCAAAGTTTTAAAAACACGTTAAAAAGAAGAAAAAAAAGAATGCACAGTAGTCACAAATTTGCATTAGTAGAGGGAATTTTCCTACTGAGAAGTTTCCTAAAGCAATAAAATATTTTTGTAGACCATTAAAAAAGAGAGAGAGAGACTGTCTGTAGAAAAATTAAAAATCTTGCTTTGAATCTTTACTCTGGACATCTTCTGGGCCATGAGTCTGTGTTAGAATGTTCCCTGGAATGAGGCCTTCAAGACAAAAAAGGCTTGGGAAAAGGCTGCTCGGTAAGGAGTGGCCTTGTAGGGACAGTCAACAGAGAGGGTCAGGTGGCTTTCTTGGACCAAAGGGGAGTACTCAGAAAGCTACCAGGGGCTTCTGACTTTGTCTGTGACCCTGCCTGCGCCCCAGTTAGAAGTTCATTGACCTGTCTCCAGCGATGCCTTGTCTTGGCCTCTCTCCCCAGATGGAGGTGCCATTGATTTCCTGGGTTGGAATAGGGTCTAGGAACAAGGGCAGAAATCGGAGAGAGGGACGCTGAGGGGCCATAGCACCAAGGTGTGGGGGGAGGCAGCGGCGGACCTGAGAAAGCTCAGTTGTGGGCTGGAGGAATTATCAGAAGAGATGGGCTGGGAAAACGTTATGAGCAACTCGTTTTTATTATAAACTCAGTCCTCCACCAAAGTACTTGAGTAACCATATGAAGTAAGAGCGGAGGAGACGCTCTTGTCCTGTGACCTCTTCCTGGCCTGCTGCCCCTCCCACCACGGTGACTCTGTCTTCTTGGCCGCCCGGAGCCTTTGCCGGAGGCCCAGGTTTGGACGGGTCCTTTTCTGGAGGGGCCGGCTCTGTGAAGTTTAGAGTCTAAACCAGCCTGGCGCACAGGAAGCACGTCTTGTGTGGAAGACAGCTCCGCGTCCTCCTCTTCCTCTCTGCGTCCGTCTTGAGAGAGAGGATGAGGAACCTTCTTAGCAGGAGTGGAGGGGGCGGGGGGGCCCCCCCAGGAGCACCCTGACCACCGCCATCGCCCTTCTCCCCAAGGGACTGTGGCAAGTTCATCTGGAGTCCTGAAGTCACTTTCATAATAATAGGCTTTTAATTTTTGAAAATTCAGCTACACCCACTGGGCAAAAACAAAATAAAAAAACATGCCACACCTGTGAGGGAAAGAGCAGTAACAACTTAGTGCAAGCAGATGCCCTGGGTGGGAGTGAGAAAGAGAGGTGAGTCTGTCCCCTGCCCTCCTGACCTGTTCCCCAGCGGGTGGGACAGAGTTGGAGACAGTGACAGCGGCTCCTCCAGCCCTCAGAACCCACTTGGCCAGCCAGCTTCCTTTGCCTTCTGTCTTTGATAGAGGATTTTGGCTAGAGCACTTTCACCTGGCACACTGACCCCAGACCCTTATGCCCATAGAAAGACAGGGCTCCCCAGGACTGAGAGAAAGTGAGCCTGTCTGGGCATTGCTTTAGTGGGGGTGAGGAGAGACAGCCAGATTTGTTTTCTTTTCTGTTTGGTAAAGGATGTGTGTCCCTGTATCCCGGAGCCTTCGCCACCCCTCCCAAGTTTTTCCTCTAGACCTGCAGGGTGGGGGGCATGCCACCCAGCAGCACCGGCTGCTTTAGTCGGCTGGGGTCCTGGTGTCTGTCAGAATCAGGCATGACAGCCACGGTTCTGAAAACACAGACACGAATCTGGTGGGGATTTGCCGTTCCGGGGGGGGGGGGGGGTTCGTATATGGGAAACCCTAACCACACCTTTGCACGCGGGTTGTGACCGACACCCTCTTGTTCTAGAACGTGTTTCTCACCATACTTTCTTGCTTCTGATTTACCATTATAGGTTTGCCTTGGCGTCCCATTTCTTCTGGGGACTTTGGTCAATCATACAAGCCAAAATTTCATCTATTGAGTTTGGGTACATGGTATGTGTCATATAATTTTCTCCTCTGTTCTCGCCAGCCCCTCACCCCCCAGAGAAGTTATGGAGGGAGTGGTTGAGCTTTGAAAGGCAGTGACTGGCGGGTTGTCCGATTGCCTCCCTCCCTCATGGCGAGGTGGCTCAGGGGAGACTGACCCTGCCTCAGGAGCCTGGTGGTCTGCGCAGGCTGCGTCCCTCGGCCATCCGAGGTGCCGGAAGGGCTGCTGCGGCAGGACTCGGATGGCGCCCATTTGGGTGGCCCCACTCTGCCTTCGCTTGGAGACCTTCGGCGGGGCGGGACACGCTGCCGTCTTCCACGGAGGCCCATTCGTCTTTGGGAGGTCTTGTTAGAAAGTTCTCTACAACTGCCCCCCATCCTTCCTTAGTGATCACAGTGATGGCAGCGGACGCGTGCTCTGGCCCTTTCTCACTTCTTGCTCTTTGGATGAGAGAGGGGAGAGGCGCCCCGCGGCCCCCACCCCACCCCCGTGTCAGGGCCCCAGTGCCTGAGGCTGCCTGTGCTCCTTCCCTTAGGACTACGCTCTAGCCAGGTTCGATGCCTATTTCGACCAGAAGAGGAAACTCGGCGTGTGAGCCTTGGAGCCTTGCAGCAGGGGGTCCCTGCACTGTTTGTGTGAAGAGAGCGGCTGGGTGGGATTTCTCCTCTGTGCTTGACTCCTGCACCTGCAGCCCGGTAGGCTCGGCCCGCCTCCCCTGGGAACACCCACGCGTGTGGGACTAGAGACTTATTAAAAGTCGGGCAACGTTTATTTCCTATCTCGTTGACGATTTCGCTGGGAGTCTTTGACGTGAGATGGGGACGCAAACCAGATGGCGAGAGCCGAGTGCCTCCTCATCCTTTGCTCCTCCTCCCGGCAAGCGGGGGCTGAGCCCCCACACCCCAACAGCGAGCAGCATCCTGGGGGGCTGGTTCTTACTGTTTCATGGGTATGTATTTTTTTAAACGTGCTGGTAAAGGTTGTGGCCAGGATGCTGGGCATTGGCCACGCATTGTAGACACTACTAGCTTGCAGAAGGAACCAGGAGCTGCTCGCAGCATCACCGCTTGCAGGGCACGCCGTGTGTGCCCGCAGCTCTAGGACACTACCGTTCCAACCCTTGGGTCCAAATCGCCAGTGCTCAAGAAAGCGCGTCGACTTAGACTCACACTGTAGCTTCCTTGTGACTGGTGTACATGCTTTGTTATCCAGAGGCATCTTACTGTAACTGGAAAGAACCCTTCCCCCAATTGCTGGCTGCCAGTGAAGGGGGCCGGAGGGTGCAGGGCTGGGGGGAGTCGGGGGGGAGGGACAGCTTACACGGGCTTCCACCAGCCATGGGGCGTGGGACAGCTCTCCTGCAATGCCCCAGGCCTCCCCCAGCCTAGACCCTCCTGTGTGGCGGGCGAGGGAGTGAGAATACTTGGTCTTCCTCCTCCTCCCACCATTTGTGGGGTGGGAAGGGAATCCTTGTAAAGGTTAAGAAGCCCCAGCTGCTTCCACGCCCCCACTTTCCCCTCATGGCACCCCACTAGTGCCATGATTGGGGTAACCAGTTGACTGTGCTGAGAAATGGGGGAGGAGAAGAATCGCTGTGAAATGTCCATAGGTATTAAATGACCCTTTGGGGTAAACCTTGAGCTCTTTTTTTACTCTGAACTTCTATTTGAGTTTTGTGTGCAAACATTTCAACCACCACAGATTGTACTATACTAAAAATAAAAGTTTTAAAATCAGACCTAGCTTGGTGTTTTTGTTCTTGGGTTTTCACTGTGCTGGCTAGTGTAGTTAACCTGGGTTGTTTTGTTTTTGTATTTATGGGGGAATGGCTCTCGGAGAAGGGGAGGGAGAAGACTGGAAAAATATGGGTGATGTGGAAAACGAAAGAGATGAATCCCTCTTTTTAAAGAAATGTCATTGCTTGCTGAGACCTCTGCCTCTTCTCTGGAGGGCACTCCTTAACCGGCCAGTTTTGGCATCCCTTCTGGGCTGCCGGCTCAAGTCTTATCGCCTCTGTGGTCCCCATGATGAGTCTGCCCTGGGCCAGACCTGGCTGTCCTGTTCCCAGATTCTGGGTGTGGGAGGTGGTCCCTTGGCAGAGTTCTCTGGGTAAGAGCAAGTCCCCAAGAGATAAGTGGTCAAAAGATAGAAGCAGGCGGGTTTCAAAAGAAGAAATGCAAACGATAAACTACCCTATGAAAAAATGCTTTAGCTCATTGTTAATAAAAAGAATTACAACTTGAATTTCCCTTGCGCCCATCAGCTTGGCCAAGGTGTAAGTAGTCAAGGTTAAAGAGGCTGTGGGAGGACAAATGGTCACACTGATGCATTTTGGAATTAGAAGTCACTGGGTTTTGTACACAGCAGTCCAGGAGTAGGCATATACTGCAGAGGTGAAAGGGAAAGGTCCCATATCTAAGAAACGTATAGCAGAACTCGGGTGGGGCTGGGGTGACCAAAAATGCATGCCCATTGCCGGATGGGTGGACAAATTGTGGCACATGAATGGATGGAATGGAATATTACAACCCTAAGTGCCTCCAGAAGTGAGGAAGATGAAGAATTACAAAGGGCCCATCACAGGGACTGATGAAATCTGAGTGGAACCAGGAGAATGATTCAGGAGGAAAATGAAGACAAAGACGCCCACCCATCCACACTGATCAATAAAGTGAGCCATCCCCCTTCCTGGGTGGAGGTGTGGATCAGAGCTGTAGGAGAGTGAGCGTGGCTGGGGGTTTGGCTTCGTTTGCTGTTGGGACGCAATCTACATGACCTATGGTCCCCGGCTGGTTCAATGAGAAAAACACTGACCTTCGATTCAGAGGGTGTTCTGCTTTTAGGGACGATTTCCTCAACCATAAAATAAAGGATTCGCAGAATTGGACAATTTTAAAGTTTGAAAGCGACCTTTGTGGGCAGCTAATCCAGGCCGTTCCTAGAAATGAGCCCCCTTAACAACATGGGCAGCTAGGTGGAACGGTGACTTGGGGAGTCCCTAGGAAGACCTACATTCAAGTCCTTTACCAGTTCTCAGACCCTGGGTCATTTCACCACTCTGCCTCAGTTTCCTCATCTCTAAAACGCTTTGGCAGCCTTAAGGTGCTATGTAAGCGGTAGCCATTGCTCTTTTTACTGTGATTATTATTGTCGTCTTTGTCAAGGGACCGGTCACCCAGACTTAGCAAAGGAGAGCCCATGACAGCCCAAAGCAGCATATCCTAATTTGAGGCCACTGACTAGGAAGTTTTGGGTTATTTTTTTTTTCATAGCCACGTAATGCTCTGAAAACAGTTATGTCCCTCCCATGCCTCTTCACGTTAAACACACTCAGTTCCTCCAACTAACCCTCCCAGGCACGGCGTCAAGGACCCTACCCAGCCTGGGTACCTGCCTTTGGACCATCTCCAGCTTCCTATCATCTCATTCTTGGAAGCTCCTTCCCTCTTAATGGAACTCAAGATCTCATTCACTTCCTTGGCTGATGCGTATCGAGCTCCTGGATTCCTCCCAAACTGCTGCCCACCTACCCACTCTTCTCTCATCTCAAATTCATGAAGTTGATCTTGCAAGGTGACTGCTCTCCAGTGAATTTAATCTTCGATTTGGCTGAATTGGATTCCAACTGGCAAGATCTTTTTAGATCCTGACTCATCCAGGCTGTGAATTACCACCCCTCACCCCTGGCTTGGTGTCACCAATGCACCCAAGGGTTTGCACAGGGTGATCTCAAGAGGCTGCTAGCATCCCTGGGCAGGGAGCTCGGCTGGAGCTTCTCGACCGGGGAGTGACAATGAAGTTCTCTAAAACACTCAGACGAGAGGCTCCTCAGGCCGCGGCCCAGCCGAGAGCTCCTCTCCTTTGCTCACAAGTCCTCTGGTGTGCTCTTCCCTCCTGGGCCAGCCTAGCAGGCTTGAGGCTGCCGGAGCCAGGAGCAAGGCCAAGGCCAAGTCTGCACTGCAACCCAGAGGCCAGGCCACAAAAGGGGCTTTGTCCCCCCCACCCCCACCCCCACCCCGAGCCGTCAGGAAGGATCCTTGGTAGCTTGGGTACTGGCTCAGGCCACCTTGAGAGGAGGCGGCCCAGGGGCAGGAGCTGGAGAGCTGCTGTCCTGACTGGCCTCCAGCCCCCAGTTCCCCACCCCTTGGGGTATCCAATAACTGTACTTCCTGCTTCCTTTCCTAACCCTTCAAGGCACATTATACAAGAATCGCTCCACTTGTTTTTACAAAGTAAGAAACTGAGGCTTGGAGGAGTGAAGGGACTTGTTCAGGGTCTTGTAGCTAATAAGGTGTCAGAGTTAGAATGTAGGTCTCAGGATTCCAAGCTCAATTCTCCTTCCCCTATGCCACAGCACCTAGCAAGGCAACAGGCTTAGAACCTCTAGAACTCAGAAGCACTTAGTTCTAATGCACGCCAGCAAACATACATTTAACCCCCTCCCTGCTGGCAAGGCTCCCGATTCCAATTCCACTCCCAAGACGGGGTGAGCCTGGGCCAAAATCACTCCTGTTTCCTCAACTGGAAATCGGCAATAATGCCTTTAGTAAGAGAGCCCCTTGCAGATATTAGAAGTTCGAGGTCGATGCTGCTCATTTTCTCCTGGCTGAGGCGTGCAGGTGCAGGGGCCGGGTATAAGAGGGGGATGAAGACACACTCAGCTGGGACCTACCCAAAGACAGCCTTGGTGCATTAGAGAGAGGCAGACAGGGCTGAGGAGGGTCGAAGGGAATGGAGTTACTGCCGGTTGCCTTAACACAAATTCAACAGGCAAAGCTGGGAAGGGAGGGCCTCCCTTCCAGGGGCAGGGGGGCCAGTAGGTGGAGAGTGTGGAAGGGGCTGGACTGTGGAGTCCTTGAGAAGAGAACTGTCTTCTGACTCTTCTAGCACACAGTAGGGACCTAATCAATGTTCAGGACAGCGTTCTGCACCCCAGCCCTATGGGGAGGGGTGCAAAGATTACTCAGAGAGGTTGCGTCTTGTCACCGGTCACAGCCAGGGAATGTCATGTGGGGCTTCGACACCCAAACACTCCAAGAGAGGTCTGCAGCCCCTCCTGGCCCACACCCCCAACCAACTGAGCAAGACGAACCGGGCTGGGGCTCCTTCAAATCTCTTTTATTGCTGTCTGGTAACACCCAGGGGTGGGGGTGGGCATCGGGTGAGGCTCTACAGGGTGCTCTCCTCCACCTCGAAGGTAAATGGGCTCAGCTTGTAGCCGGTGCCGGCGTAAAACTTGTTCTGGAACTCCACCCTGTGGGCCAAGCGGGGCCATCAGAGGGGCGGCAGGGAGACAGCTCCCGCCGTCCAGGCCTCTGTCGGCAGCCCCTCCCCCCACTCACCAGTGCAGACGCAGGGCATGCAGGAAGGCGGACAGCCCCTCCATCACCAGCAGGATGGCCACAGTGAGCACAGCAAAGGCGGCAAAGACGGGCACCAGCACCACGCTGGCCACGCCTATCTCCCGGCCCATGTGCAGACCTATTCGCATCACCATGCCCCACAACACCTCCGAGAGCTCTGCAGGGGGCACAGGGGCACGATGGGCATTTCTGTGCTCAGCCCCCCAGAACAAATGTCCTGTCCATTCTGCAGATGAGGAAAATGAGGCCCAGAGCACCCCCTAGCCACATACCAGCCATTCACCCTCTCAGTCATTCATCCATCCATCCTTGTTCTAACTCACTCCTCAAGTCTTCTGTTCTCCGGGCTTTGGTTTTCCCATTTATAAGATGAGAGAGGTTGGCCCAGGGGATCTCCAAAATCCCCCACCAAGGGGATCCGCCCCGGCCGAGGACCGGGAGTCTAGTCTATACTATACACGGAGGCCCATCTTGCCTCCCGGCCTTGGCCTCTGGACTGGCCTTTCACGCACAGGCCTTATCTCCCCACCAGCCAACCTGAAAAGCCTGGAAACTCCCCGAGGCCACGGAGCGTGTCTCCTTGTGGGAGCCAGCCAACCAGCCTGGGGCAGAGCCGGGGGCTGGGACCTTGGGGGCAGCTGCCGAATCCCTGGACACTGGGGGAGAGGATGCCTGAGCCCCTCCCTTAGGCAGTGTGACCCAGCCCCTAGCACTCACGGGCATGGGCCAGGCTCAGGGCCCAGAGACGAAGGTAGGAGGCGGTGTTGGAGATGCAGCCCAGACAGTACTCAATGGTGTGGATGGCCTGATGCATGAAGACGTCCGAGAATTCAAACTACAAGGGGAAGGAACGGCTCAAGGAGCAGGAAGGAAGAGGGTCAGGGAAAATTACAGGCGCTTCCATTTCAGTATCACACCCGGATCTGCCAAGCCTGTGAGCATTCACCGAGGCTCAGAAAAATGCTGTGACTTGCCAAGGGTTACACAGCAGTGAAATGTCTGCGATGGGGGTCTCCCCAGCTCTGAGCCTGAGCTCCGTGAACTCCAGAAATCGGAGGCTGGCTGGAATGATAGTGGGGCCCATTCCCATAGGGTGCTAGGCTGGGGCACCACGGCTTTTCTTCCCTGCGGGTGTTATCTGCCCTTTTTTTACAAAGGAGGGTGCGGAGATTCAGAGAGGGGGGTTCACACAGCTCCTACTCGTTAGACTGGGGATCCCGAGGGTGTGGGGAGGGGTGGCTGAGGCTGGACTCACCTTGGGCTCCTCCGCGTAGCCCGCTTTCTCCTCATCTTCCTCAACCCCACTTCCGTTCAGTGAGGCTCCATCCTCCGTCTCCCCGAGAAGGTGGCTTTTGTCTGGTGAGCCCTGGTCTCGGAGAGGCGGATGAGGCTGCGTCAGGTGGGCAGGGGGGGCCGGGTCCCGACGCCCACGCCCTCTGTCCATCTCTCCCCTGCCACAGTGCCCGCTCCCAGTGCCATACCTGCAGTTGGCGACCAATCCGTCTCTTCCGACGGTGCTGGGAGCACAGATATAGGGGTGTCCCCAGGAGAAGGACGGGCACAGAGGCCAAAGCCAGGATCACCAGAAACATCTGGACGGGCTCCTGCGGACGAGAGAGCGAAGTGGTTACAATGCGCTGGAGTCAGGCCCCCAGCCATACGGGCACCCTTCCAAAGTCACGGGCGAGGTCCCTTCAGCCATGGTCGTCCTCCCTGACTCCCTGCCTGGCCCTGGGGCTGAGCGGGCTGTCCTCTCCAGCCCAGAGAATACAGCATCCTTATGCAAGGTGAGCCTCAGCCCTCCCCATCTCTCTTGTAGGAGGCAGGTTCCCCAATACTTAGGGATCTATTAAGGGAAGGACCGTACTTTGCCGCCTCACCCCACCTGATGACGTCCCAGGGACGCCCCTGCAGGAGCAGCCTCCCTTCTCTGGCTCCGACCCAGACCCTCAGGGAAGGGGCCGTCCAGCCGGGGACAGGGGCTCTCTCCCGAGGCAGTGCCTTGTCCTAATTCTTAGGCAGTTTTTTTCTCACACCAATTGGAGAAAGGAGTCTACGGTGTCAGTACCACACCCAGGCGTCCCCATCTATGTGTACATGGACACGCTGGCCCTTTGCTGGATGGACCAGGGGGTTTTGCTGACTTTTTTTCTTGTTACTGGAGCTTTCTCACTGAGGAGAGGAGGGAAGGAGGCGAGTTGGAAATGAAGATGATGTAAGACAAAAGGTGGGAGGAGGGGGGCAGGGCACCGTGTTTAGCCTGGAGAAGGGAAGATTCAGCAACCTGAGAGCTGCCGTAACCTCCTTGAAAGGCTTGGGGAGGAAGGAGGCAGCAGCCTGGGCACGATGGGGGGAGAGCGTAAAGAGGCCCCTCGAAGCCGATGTCAAGGGGACCTCCCTCGAGGGGAAGGGGTGCCCCGGGCAGGGTGGGCAGAGGCTGGAGGCCCCCTTGTTGAGGATGCCCCTACAGGCTGCCTCGGAGGTCCCTGCCAACCCTTCATGATCTGTGATTCTTGGCCAATAAAACCGGTGCGTGGGATCACAGGAATCAGAGCTGGAGGAAGCCCCAAAGGTAAAGTGACTGGTGGCAGAAGGAGAACTCGAACCCAGCTCTCTTGACTCCCAGCCAGCAGTTCCTCCCCTTGCTTTCTGCTGCCAGAGCATTGCTCAGCTCTCTCCACCACCGCTGCTGTAGAGCAGAAGCTCCCTGCGGGCAGGGGTTGTTCCGCTTCTGTCTCTGTAGCCCCGGCACCGGCCCAGGGCCTGGCACAGCGGCCGGGGGTGGGGGGCTCCCTCCGAGCTCACCTGGTGAGGGTACAGGAGCCCGTTGGTGGGACTCCGGGAGAAGAGGAACATGTTGATGAAGTGGATGAGGATGCTGGGTGCCGGGGTCGAGCTGGTGGCCGAGAAGCACAGCCACTTGTAGGCGATCATGAACACCAGGTAGCCAAAGAGGCCCAGCAGGAAGAGCATCTCCGGCAGAAACTCGAGCAAGAGCCGGTGGGGCTGCCGGAAGTGTCTGTGGGGCGGGGCGGTGGGAGGCAAGAGGCTGCTGAAGGGGCTGCCGCCCACTGCTGCCCCTACCCTGCCCCAGCCCCCAGGCTGCTGCCCCGCCCCCAGGCTGCCCCCCAGCCCCCCACGCTGCCCCCCAGCCCCCCAGCCTGCCCCCCCAGCCTGCCCCCCACCCCCAGGCTGCCCCCCAGCCCCCAGGCTGCTCCTGCCCCAGCCCTCACAGATGGTTGAAAACACCCAGGATGACCCCAAAGGTCATGTGCAGGATGCCCAGAATCACCGACATCTTCATCTTGAAGGAGTTGAGAAAGCTCAGGTGGTTGATGGCCAAACTCCAGATCTAGTCAGGATGGGAAGGGCCAGTCAGAGGCTCCAGGTCCTGAAGGAGGGATGTGCTGGGGGGAGGGGAGCTCCTAGGACACCCTGGCCTCTGCCCGGGCCTCCGCCCTCACCTTGTTTCTATTTTCTGCAGCATCTGACACTGCAGCCCACACCCCTCCCAATACGATCAACTCTCCGCTTCCCTGACGCCTTCCTTCAACAAGCACTGATTAAACCCCTACTGTATGCCAACCCCTGTGCTGGCCATTGGGGAAATACAGCCCCTGCTCTCATGCGGGTGACAGCCTAGGAAATAATTATAAACACGGCATTACATGATTAGTCATGAAACAGGGGCAAATCTGAGGAGGCTTTGGCATCCAAATGGAATCCCCCACCTCGGAGCCTTTACCCAGGCTGTTCCCACTGCCTGGCATGCCTTCCCTCCCTTCCTAGCTCCACCTCTTAGAGAACTCCTGTTTCCTTCAAGACTAACGTGTTCATAATTATCTCCTAGGCTATGACCTCCATGCGAGCAGGCACTGCATTTCCCCCAGTGGCCAGCACAGGAGTTGGCATACAGTAGGGGTTTAATCAGTGCTGGTCCCCCTGAATCTTCTCTTCTCCAACTAAACACCCCAATTGCCTTCAGCAGTTCCTCTGATGGCACAGATCCTCTGTCATCCCAAACCCCCGCCCTCAAGCTGACTCCAGTGGCCTCAGGGCATCTCCCTCTTGGGCACAGGCTGTCACAGGGGCTTCTGGAGGAACAGGTCTGACCCCAGCACTCACAAATGTCAGTGGCTCCCCACTGCCCCTCAATCTGGGCCTGCCTTCCTGTCCCAGCCTTCTCTCCTGGAAGGCTCTTGATCCTGCCAAGGAGAGGGGCTTTGGGTGGTTGGGAGGCACTCGGCACAGACCGGACGTGCCTTTGTCAGGGACATTGTCGAGATCCAGTTTGGTCAAGACCGGACTGGTGCAGACCCCTCTCGAGCTCTTTCTGTCCATAGGACTGCAGCACCCCACAGACCTGCCCCAGCCTGGCTCCCACACACGTGCTCCCCAAACAATGACCATTCCTGTCGTCTGACGCCGGCTTAACTGCCACGGCGACCACGAAGCCTGCCCTGACCATCCTGGCTGGGAGTGAGGGTCCCTGCTCAACTCCTACAGGGTTTGATATCGTGCTTCTTTCCCCTCTCCGGGCCCAGTTTCTCCATCTTAAAAATGAGGCGGTAAGGCCCCTCCCAGCTCCGACCCTATGTTCTCGCTCTGATATTCCATGTTTTAAGCCTCCCCAGCCCCACAGTGATGTTCTAAGCTCTAACGTCCCTCCTAGCTCTGAAATTCTCCATTCTGAGGTCCCTCTTGCCTCCGCCAGTCTTATGTTCTAAAAGCCTGTCCAGCTCCGACAGTCTAGGACTCACCGGGTCGATACCAAAGGGGTAGGGTCCCCGGAAGACATCGGTGACATTGGGATCCAGGCTGAGGATGGGGTGGTCGGCCAGAAATGCTGAGCTGTAAGACCCAAGATTGTCAGGAGGCGTCAGGGGGCAAGAGGGGAGGACGGGAGCTGGTGGGCTAGAGGAGAGAGCTTCACCTCCAGTTGGACTGGCTCGCCATGGCCCTGACGCTCCAGCCCGAGGGGAAGATGGTGGTGGCTCGACTGAAGCATTCGTTGTAGATGAAGCCAGTGTAGATGGAGAAGGCCCCCATGAGCAGAAGCAGGTAGCGGCCTCCGAAGAAAGTCCTCCAGATCTGGGGAGGGGTGGGAGGTGGGGGTCCGTGGGGGTCTAGTGTCCAGGGAGGCCGGCCCCCAGCCGTCCTGCCCCCGTCCATCCTCCCCTGCTCCTCCCCAGCCCTCCAGGATTTAGAGCTGGAAGGGGCGTCAGCGGGACGGCAGCATCGCAGATCCAGCCGGGAGAGGTCCAAGGCCGTGTAGTCTAGCCCTTGGTTTTATAGCTAGGAAGCCAAGGCCCAAGCTAGGAAGTGATAGAGCTAAGCTTCCAATTCCCAGAGCAGGCCTGCTCCCTGCAAGCTCCAACTGCACCCCCCCAGAGTCCCCAGGCCTCCCCTGCCCTCTGCCCCTCACCTCATTCTGCGAGGCCTTCACACTGGGCCGGTTCTCTCCAAGCACCATGGCCAGCGCGAAGAGGAACATGAGAAGCCCGTGCCCCACATCCCCAAACATGATGGCGAAGAGGAACGGGAACGTGATGATGGTGTAGGGGGCTGCAGGAGAAGGAGGACCCCGGCACACATCAGCCCGAGGCCGGGCCCCTCCCTCCCAGATCCACAGAAGGAAGGGAAACGGCCTCGCTCACCTCCAGCACCCGACAGACAGGGAGACCGAGGCTCGGACGCAGAGCTCGGGTCCCAACCCCACATCCTCTGCATACTCCCTAGGGCACCCCCATTTCTCAGCACATATCTCTGCCCTAACTGCACATAGCCGGTCCTGATGGGGAGGGAGGTCAGTGCTCGCTGGGCTGTGCCAGACCGGTGCTCCCCGGGTCTCCACCCCCGGAGTTCCCCACTGTGAGAATAAGGGGGACTCTGGGAAGCTGAAGAAGACTTTGGAGGCCATCCAGCCCAACCCCCACATTTTACAGAGGGGGAAACTGAGGCCCAGGGAAAGCAAGCAGCTTCCTCAAGGTCATACAGCTGGTGAAGCTGGTTAGGAGCGAGTAAAGGGTCACTGTCCTTGAAGATATAAACACCAGCACTGGCCACTCCAGCAGGGGTGGGGAATCCAGGCTAGAGACACGAGGAACCTTAAGGACGCTGAGACAGTGCCTGGCTGGTCTACACTGCTCAGTTCTAGTGGGTCTATCACTCATCTAGATGACGTGCCTTGGAACAGCCACACCACTGTCCTGACTTGAACCCAGGCTGAGGTTCTGGGTCCAGCAGCAGCCCTCCGGGGCGTGGCTGTCCTGCCCATCGTGGTCAGAAAGTCATCCTGACACCCACCCCTGGTTCTGGTGCTCACAACTAGATCCAGTCACCTAAAAAGGACGAGCCCCACAAACGTATTCCCCGTTGTGGCAAACAACACGCCCTGTTCTTTGTCTCACACTTCTCCTAGCTCCAGCCCCAAAGGGTGTCCCTTATCTGTGAATTTGGGGAATGAGTGTGAACCCCACTAATCTTTACCATTGAAACTTTGTAAAGTTTATAGGAAGCTCATATTGTTTCCCTTTTCAAAAGAAAGACAGAAACGGAGAAAGAGACAGAGAGAGACAGAGAGATAGGGGAGGTGGAGTGGAGAGAGAAAGAGACAGAGAGAGAAAAAGACAGTGCGGCACTTTGGTCTAAAAAATGAATCCATGCAGGGGCAGGGAGGCCTGACTGAACAGCTGTTTGTGCAAACACCGTCTGGGAGTTGGTGGGTTGCAGGCTCAATGTAAGTGACCAGAGGGACCGGGCAACTCTATAAGCTAATTAGATCCTGGAACAAAAAGTCCTGCTCAAACCCCACCTAGAGAACAGTGGTCAGTCCTGGGCACCACCAATAAGGAAGGACACGTTGCATCTAGGAAGGGAGCCGAGGAGGACAGCCAGGATGAGGAAGGGGCTGGAGAGGACGTCATTAAGAGTCATCTATAGGAACCAGGACGTTTGGCTGGAGAAGCGCAGGCTCTGGGTGGCTATGACTGGCGGCGTCTGCAGCTGCCTGCAGGGCTGTGCTATGGAGCCGGGCTTAGCCTGGCCCCCATGGGCAGAGCTGGCTGCCAGTGACGCGGTGGTAATTTGGCGGTAAGTCACATGACCTTTCTTCTTTATTTTTGGTCATGACCTCCTGTTTCCATTCATTGTTAAATGAGGGAAGGGCATTATGGGAGGGAAGCAGGTTTTGGCAGCTGGCCTGGGCAGGGCTGGTCTGCCCCAGGGCGGCTTCCCGGTCCACAGCTGGAGGACCACTTGTCACCGAGGCTAAGAGGAGATCCCTCAGTGGGGAAGCCAGATCTTCTCCAAGTCTAAGTCCTAGGATCCTATCCCGTCCTACCTCGGCAAACCCAAATCCAAACCCGATGAGTGACGGCAAACCGAGGTGAAGGGTGCTAGGATCACAGATCCAGAGAAGGGAGGGTCTTCTGAGGCCACAGAGTCCATCCAACCCCCTCATTTTACAGATAAGGAAACTGAGGCCGAGAGAGTAAAGGAATTGCCCACCCAGGGTCACAAAGATAATAAATGTCGAGCCCAGGTGTTCCTGACCACGACCACGATACCATTCCTATGCTATCCTGCCTCGGGGCAAGCCGGGCCCAGGACTGGAAGGAAAATCCAGCCTCCCCCAAACCGTCCCTGTGCCACCATCGGTGACCTCCCTGGCCTGGCCCTGACAGATTCCGGACCTGTGAGTGCTCACCTGGGTTTACCTCCTGGTAACGCCCCACGCCATAAGCGTCCACAATGCCTTGGAAGCTGGCGGTAAAGCGGTTGGTGCGGACGAGTGTTGGGGGCGAGTCTCTGGAGGGGATTCGGTGTACTACGGTTCCCACACCTGCCCCACTTCGGAGCTGGCGGGAGAGGAGAGAGAACATGGCAACAGATAATTTGATGAGATGTGGGCACTGTGCTAGGCACCACGGATTTGAAGATAAAAATGACCTTGCCCTCAAGGAGCTTACATTCTGTTGGGGGATATAACCCATAGACAAAATACAAAGCATACACAAACAAAAAAATACAAGCTGGCACCACAGTGCTGGGCCTGGAGTAAGGAAGAACTGAGTTCAAATCCAGCCTCAGACACTTCCTAGTTGTGTGACCCTGGGCGAGTCACTTCACCCTGTTTGCTTCAGTTTCCTCATCTGTAAATAGGAAATGGTAAACCACTCCAGTATCTTTGCCAAGAAAACCCCAAATGTGATCACGAGTAAGGACAAGACTGAAAAGGACTGAACAGCATTAAACAAATTTTGGTAAAAGGGAGATTTTGATCTTCAAAAGCCATGCCCGGAAGGCAGAGGAGCTTTTAACAGATCTGTTAATTACCCAAAATCAAAGAGGCTACAGCTTCTAGAAAGAATAATCTCCAACCCAGTTTTCGCTGGAGACTGTGTTGAACCCTGACAAAACTAGGGTCGCCAGGGAGGAGAGTAGAAGCAGGAGTGGAGATGGGTGAGCACGGGTGCAGGTGATAAAGCCCTGGGCTTAGCCCATTACTGCACCCTTCCCGGGTACCAGCTCCCAGAGAGCGGCTTCCTTCCTGGGAGGGAAGGGCAGGTCGGCCGGCTTCACTGTACAACTCCAAGGAGCTAGAGGCCTTGCCGGAGAGCCCCATTAGAGCAGAGGGGCCATCAGGGGGTGGGAGAGCCCACGGAGGATCTGCAGCTGGATCCCTGGGAGCTCCGGAAGGGAGCTCCTTCCTTCCTTTCCAAGGGGATTGAAAGGGCAGTTCTGCACATTTGGTTTCATAAAGATGTGTTCCCGCTGCTAGCTCCCCAGTGGAGACCGGGGCGGGGGGGTGAAATTTTTGCAAGAAATGGATTTGTTGGATGGGATTGATGTGCTCAACTCACAACCCCAGATCCCTTATGGCTAAACACAGCTCCTGCCACACTGCGCAAGGAAACATCACCTGCGAGGAACAGCGAGTGAGTGAGGGAAGGGCAATGGAGCTGAGGCCGGGAGAGATCCCCCGGTCCGGGCAGGCTGCAGAAGGCTACCTGGGAAGCGAGGCAGAGGCGGGGTCCTGAAGTAAGAAGGTACGGAGTGTTTGTGTGTGGATGATGCACGTGCAAAGCTCAAAGGCAGGAAAGGGTGAGATGTGTGCGAGGGATAGTGAGGATGCCAGTCTGGCTGAAGCATAGGAGCGTGAGAAAATCATGTCAGGTGCAGCAGTGCCAGGAAATAAGGGGCCTTGAACATCAGGCACAAGCATTTGGACTTTCCACGGCTGGCAGTGAGGTACCATGGATAGAATGCTGGGTCTGAAGTCGGGAAGACCTAGGTCCAAATTTTGCCTCAGACACTTATTAGCTTGTGTGACTATGGACAAGTCACTGAAATTCTCTGAGCCTCAATTTCCAACACCCACGGGTTTGAATGAGATAACATCTATAAAGTTCTTTTCAAACCTTAAATTAACATATAATTGCCATTATTAGTATTAAACATACAGTAATTATTATTAATTTATAGTAATAAACAGTATTATTACCGTTGGCAATAAGGAGCCAAGGAAGACCCTTAAGCAAGGAGTGCCATGTTAAGAGCCATACAGTTATAGTATAGTAAGCACTGTGTGGAGGGCAGGCTTTGACCCTCAGTAGCCTTATGGTCTCTTGAAACTTATTTCCCCCTTCTCTGAGTCTCAGTTTCCTCCTCTGTAAAATGCGATAATAATCCCTGCACTCCTCCCCACATTGGATTGTTGTAAACTCTTCGTCGACCTTAACTTCTTCAAGAAAGAACTGTTCTCTACAGGCACCTTCATTTAATCTTCACAGCACGGACTGCTATAGGCAGAACAGAGCAAGGTCTATGCTACCCATCGGAAGGATGAAGAACCCAAGGCCCCACAATGTTATGTGACCTCAGGACCGGTTGAAGTTGGTAGGAGAATGGGGCCGTGGGTAAGCCTCGGTCTCCCGGGTCCCTGGAGCCCGCCCTGCCCAGGCCGGGGACTCACCGAGCTCTCGTTCAGCGTCTGCTGCAAGGTGATGAGGTCTCGTGTGGGGCACCAGACCTCAGCAATGAGGCACTTGTCGGTGACGCTGAGGCTGCACTGGTTGAGCATTAGGTAGACGGCCTTCATCTTGCGGATCTGCACTTGCCACAGGGGCAGCAGGCCTTGTACACGATGGAGCACCTGCCCCAGGAACTGCTCTGTCTCCTGGAGCACCTGGGGAAGGGGGCCGAGCCAAGAGATGGTCACCTGTGAGTCCGGGGCAGCTCGACCCTCCCAAAGTCGCCAAGCCGCTGCCTTTTCTGGGCTTCAGTTTCCTTCTCTGTAAAGGAGGAGCTTGGCGTACATGCTCCCTGTGGCTCTTCTTTCAGCCCCAAATCCCATTCCCGTAACCTCCCCTGGGAGAATGGAAGCTCCTTGAGGGCAGGAACCGCTTCATTTCTGTCTTGATCCCCAGGGCCTAGCACACAGTAGGTGCTTCATAAATGATGGTTGGTTGATTCATAGAAGAGGGAGTGGATGGGACCAGGAGCAATGGGGGTGGGGGAGGGGGTTGATGATGTCGCGTGAAGGCAGATGGGGGCCTGACCACAACTCCCAGTGGAACCAGACGCCCCCTCCCTGGCAGGCTTCAGGCAGAGGCTGGCCGGGCAGGGTCAAGGACGCTGCAGAGGCAAGCCCTGCCCAGACACGTGCCGGGACTCCCCCCTTCAGCTGGGACTCACCAAGCTCAGGTCCTGTTTCTGCTGCTGCAGGTGCTGCAAGCTGGCCAGACGCTCCTCCTCACGCTCGGGATACGGGAACACGTTGCAATGAAAACTGAAGGGACAGTGGGGTGGGGGTGGGTGATGTGGGGGGGGGCCTCTGGGGGGAACGAGGACAGCAGGAGAGCAGAGCAGAGCTGGGCGAGGGGCTCACTCACCAGTCGGTGATCTTGCGGATTTTCTGTCCAATCTGCTCTCCCCAGTAGGATATGAGGAAGATCACCCAGGGCACGCGCTCTCCCTGCAGGAGGAGTCGACACCGCCCGGCAGGGACCTTCAGAGCCAGCCCTTCCTGCCCGCCCCTGCCCCAGCCTAGCCCTGGGGCTCAGATGGCACCGCCCCTCATTCACCGTCCTTGGCACACAAAGCGGAGGCCGACAAGGGCGAAGGAGTCGTCCTGACTTGCCTCCCTGGGGCCTGTGTCAGGGCAGCAGAAAGGGGAGGCAGCCCCTTACCGTCAGGGGGTCCTCGAGTGGTTCCTCCATGTCCACGAAGCTGGCGATAAAGTAGCCACGGCATGCCCGCCACAACAGACGCTCGAGCGCCCCGGCTCGCCAGGGCTGGATGGCCCCTGCCACAAAACTAACAGATGACCCCTTGAGGCGGGAGAGGGCCAGGGCCCCATGGGAGACCCTGCTCACCCCGGGGGACAGCTAGCCAAGCAGAGGCACAGATTTATGCTGTGCTACAATGCCTTGGCCCACAGCGGGAACCCTCATGGGAGGGCTTCCAGAAGCTCCTGTCCTCTTACATGGAACACTGCAGAGGCCGTCAGCGGGCAGAGGAGACAAGATGGCAGGTGAGAGCCCCGACCTACTCTTTGTTCTGGCCCTGCCATTGACATGCCAGGGGCCAGGGGCATTGGCTCTTTGCTTTTCAGTTTCCTCTGCTATGGGAGGGTGGGGGTGAGGGTTTGGACTAGATGATCTCTAAGGCCCCTCCCAGCTCTGACATTCCCTGTACTAAGGGTCCTTCCAGCTCCCATATCCCAGGTTCCCTTCAGGTCCACACCTGCCCTCTCAAGTACCTAATCCTGAGATCTGCTCGCGGCCCAGCCTGGGGGTCAAGTAAAGGAGTCTCTTCCAAGGGCCGGTTGGGTGGGACATCTGGAAGCTATGGGACCCCGAGAACACTAGATTCAGGGATCCGGCCTGCAGATATGGGGACCCCTACCCCACCCAGCCCTGGGAACCCCACTCCAATGAGGTGGGTCCGCCCCCCCACTGCTTCCCACCACGGAGCCCCGGGAGGCAGGGGGAGCGCTAACATGCTGGTCGCGGGTGTAGGGCCCCTGTCGTAGGACTGCAATGTGCTGCTGGAGCAGGTGCATCCGCGTGCGCATGGCCTGGTGGTTACCCCGGACTTCCCGAAGCTCCTGTGCCACCTGCTGGGTCCCCTCCTGGATGCGCAGCAGGTCCTTAGGGGGCGGGGCCTCTGGGTTCCCCTGGGGCTCCGGGAGGGTCAGGCCGGCTCTTCTCACCTCCTCCTGCAGGAAGGCTGGGAACACAGTAGCTCTGGCCAGCTCATCCTAGCCCTGAGCCTCACTGCCCTTCCAGCTGAGGACCCTAGGTCACTTCCCTGGGCTCCCTCGCTAAATTCCCAGAGGCTCTGAGGCCGACAACTCGACTCCACAAGCACCCACTG